TGGACTATAATATGGAATTCCATAAACGACAGCCAACTGTTGACTGCTGACTGTCTACTTCTGACTAACTACTGTCTACTGTTAACTGCCTACTGCTTACTGTCAACTGCTTACTGTCAATTGCATACTGTCAACTGCTTACTCCCCCACTAGAAAACAACAACAACAACAACAATTAGATAAATAAATAAATACAAAAATGAATAAAAATAAATAAATAAATTTATCCGTTTACAGATAGAGGTTATAGACTGACCCATGAAAAAAATAGAGAAACTAAAAATCAAGCCAAAAAGAAATTGTTTTATCATATACTTATAAGTGAAATATTGAGAAATACTGATGAAATAAAATGCGTATTTTCAATTTTAGTATTTTCACTGTAAAAAGCTATTTTTCACTCTAGTGAAATATATTTTCCGTATTTTCACTGCTGTCTTGCCGGACAGCTTTCTTCTAAATTCAGACAATACTCAATAAAGTTTTAGATTTTAGCCCGCTGGCCCGCCAGCCCGCCCAGTTCACACTGCTAGCCCGCTACACTGCTAGCCCGCCCATTTCACACTGCCCGGTAATGTATCATTACATTTTTATGTTCAATCAATAAAGTTTTAGATTTTAGCCCGCTGGCCCGCCAGCCCGCCCAGTTCACACTGCTAGCCCGCTACACTGCTAGCCCGCCCACTTCACACTGCCAGGTAATGTATCATAAGGTTTTAATGTTGAATCAATAAAGTTTTAGATTTTAGCCCGCTGGCCCGCCAGCCCGCCCAGTTCACACCACATGCTAAAGCCCGCTACACTGCTTAGCCCGCCCATTTCACACTGCCAGGTAATGTATCCATAACATTTTTATGTTCTATCAATAAAAGTTTTTAAGATTTTAGCCCGCTAGCCCGCCAGCCCGCCCAGTTCAAACACTGCTAGCCCGCTACACTGCTAGCCCGTCACAATTCACATTGCCAGGTTAAATGTATCATTACAGGTTTTATGTTGAATCAATAAAGTTTAAGATTTTATTGGCCCGCTGGCCCGCCAGCCCGCCCAGTTCACACTGCTAGCCCGCTACACTGCTAGCCCGTCCAATTCACATTGCTAGGAATGTAATCATAAGGTTTTTATGTTTAATCAATAAAGTTTTAGATTTTAGCCCGCTGGCCCGCCAGCCCGGCCCAGTTCACACTGCTAGCCCCGCTACACTGCTAGCCCGCCCATTCAACACTGCCAGGTAATGTATCATAACGTTTTTATGTTCAATCAATAAAGTTTTAGATTTTAGCAAAAACGCTGGCCCGCCAGCCCGCCCAGTTCACACTGCTAGCCCGCTACACTGCTAGCCCGCCCACTTCACACTGCCAGGTAATGTATCATTACATTTTTATGTTCAATCAATAAAGTTTTAGATTTTAGCCCGCTGGCCCGCCAGCCCGCCCAGTTCACACTGCTAGCCCGCTACACTGTTAGCCCCGCCCACTTCACACTGCCAGGTAATGTATCATAACATTTTTTATGTTGAATCAATAAAGTTTTAGATTTTGGCCCGCTGGCCCGCCAGCCCGCCCAGTTCACACTGCTAGCCCGCTACACTGTTAGCCCGCCCATTTCACACTGCCAGGTAATGTATCATTAACATTTTTATGTTGAATCAATAAAGTTTTAGATTTTAGCCCGCTGGCCCGCCAGCCCGCCCAGTTCACACTGCTAGCCCGCTACACTGCTAGCCCGCCCACTTCACACTGCCAGGTAAATTTATCATAACGTTTTTATGTTCAATCAATAAAGTTTTAGATTTTAAGCCCGCTGGCCCGCCAGCGCCGCCCAGTTCACACTGCTAGCCCGCTACACTGCTAGTTCACACTGCCAGGTAATGTATCATAACGTTTTTATGTTCAATCAATAAAGTTTTAGATTTTAGCCCGCTGGCCCGCCAGCCCGCCCCAGTTCACACTGCTAGCCCGCTACACTGTTAGCCCGCCCACTTCACACTGCCAGGTAAATGTATCATACACATTTTTATGTTCAATCAATAAAGTTTTAGATTTTAGCCCGCTGGCCCGCCAGCCCGCCCAGTTCACACTGCTAACCCGCTAGACTGCTAGCCCGCCCAGTTTCACACTGTTAGCCCCGCTGGCTGCTAGCCCGCCCAGTTCACACTGTTAGCCCGCTAGACTGCTAGCCGCTCAGTTCATACTGTTAGCCCGCTAGACTGCTAGCCCGTTAGCCCGCGTACTTCACGGACATCGAGGACTTTGCATTGTATTGTAAAGGTCATATTGCCCACCCATCCATCCATCCATTTAACCATTGTCAGTCTTAAACCATTTGTTCTGACTTAAAATAGCCATTATTCTGTTAACTTAATCAAGATAAGCCAAATGTTAGAATATAACTTTAGTCAGTGAATTAGGAAACACATGTTTTAACTGTAAAGCTTTTGGTTGTTGCTATCCTGACACAAGTTAATAATCAAGAAAATAGTTTATTTTACAAACTATGAACTTTTAAGATAATTATATAATTCAGAGGTTCAGTTTTCGAAGACATAAAGTGTTATATTTTGTATCGTTGTGTATTAAACGATATTGAAACAATGCGAAGACCATCATCCTATTTGTCGTTATTTATTCTGTCTCAAATTATAAATCTTAGTAGGTGATAAATTATTTATTTCGTTTAAGCGAAGCGAATTAGAAAAAAACGTAAATTATTCATGTGTGTGTGACATAAAAGAGATAATCTATATATCGACTCTATCGAGAATTGGAAAGCCATAAGAATATTCTAACATTACCTTACCGTAAATAAAAATATTTAAAAAAAAGTTTTATTATTTTATTGTGTAATTGATGACTTGCTCAAATTCATATTGGGATATTTTAATTCTAAGTTTTGGGATTTCAATATCAAAATACAAAATACAAAAAAAAAATAAAAAAATAAAAATACCATCAGTATATATGCTGGTGAAGGGAGTCAGTGGATGAAGGGTTATTATGCATATTACGTTATACATAAACACCAATTCCATGACCCTTTTGGTACATCATTTATTATTGTGTAAAGCCCGACTGTGGTGAAAGATTAAGAACAGTACTGGTATAATTTGAACTTTACCCGGGGGTTCATGACCATATCCACATCTATGATCAGATAAGATCCAGTTAATGAACTTAAAGCTTAAAGTTTTCTTCACGTTTAAGCTAAACTATAAATAATTAATAACTAAAAGAGAGCAATCGATAATATGGATGATAGCTTATGCAAAATACGTGAATATGAGTTACAAAAACCTCGACATATGACACAATATAAAGTTAATAAACATATTCACCTGCACAGAGTAACGTCTACGTGTGTGCTTTTGTAAAACAAATCATCGATTAATACTGTTAATGTGTCAACCAATTAAAATTTTAGATTTTTAGCAGTTCTATGACAGACTTAAAATATATGTCATGTGTTTCTTTTCTGATCAGAATATCCGTCCCGAGGGTACCGACGTATTGAGTGGTAACGAGGCTTGCCGAGGGACGAATATTCCGATTTGAACCGCCAGTAACTGTCAAATATTTTTGTCTTGCAGTCTCTACAATATTTTACCATATTTAAAATACTTGCATATGAATTTAGAACTTTTTTTATATAAATATACATCAATTATTTTACATCAACATAATTACACAATATGAAAAAGGATTGGGCAACATTGTCGTGGGCCCTTTCCTGTAAATGTTTAACATCGGTTTAATCAAATGAAGATTTATATTAAGTAACTATACATTTTTATTTTTAAAGATAAACAAAAAGATTGAAGAGTAAAGAAAAGTTGCTGTATAATCTATCAATTGTGTGTGACACATTACTGTTGTCCTATATATGCGAAAAATAGGTAAGGCAGATCAAAGCCTCATACATAAAAGAAATCAAAATCAAACTACATGTTATCTTATGTCTTGTTAGTGCAGCAGGTCGAACATTCTTGCCAGTAATGAGTTATACCTATACAGTCAGAAGTTCGATATAACTATTTCTTCCCAGACTATCACAATCTGCGGGAGGAAAAATGCCCAACCCAAAGCATAAAGACAGCTGAAATACAAGATTGCGTTTAAACTTCACAATATTGCTTTTAACCAGAAAACGTTAAAGCAGAATTGCTTGATGTATGTAAGAGGAACAAACCCGACCCAGTTTACATTCTTGACTCTGGAGAGACATGGGCATACTTGTAATCGTCTACCTCAGTACCGCACAGAGTTAAACGCAATTGAGCTAATGTGGGCATTAGTTAATAAATACTTTTATTTCCTCCAATATTGAAGAGCATAACATATTTAAAGAAGTGAACATAGACATATACATAAACAAGTATAATACATATTAACAAAATAGTATATCCAATTTAGCATCGTTCATATAGTAAGAAGAAATGCATTAGAAATATTTTACATTAACTACATACATTATATCAGATGTAGAAAACAAACATAACAAAATAAATCTTAACTTACAATTTGTCTCATGAGGTGTTATTTTGTCTTAAATGTTAACTAGTATACTTATCAAGGATCGTATATAGCTTAAGAGGTAAGTATCAAATGTACAAACAGTTATCAAGGTATCATATATTGCTCAGGAGGTACTTAAAGCTGACACAAATTGCTGTTAACAGCATATCCATCGAAAATTGGAAATCATGCCACAGACATGTTGATGAGATGGAAGGGCATTTTATGAGGAGCGATATAGCTTTAGAAGAAGCGATTGACTGTATAATTATACATGTGAGCGACGCCGAAGAAACTGACACTGTTTCAGTAGTGGCAGAAATGATACATATATATATACACACACATATATATGTTGTGATGAGGACAGTACAGACATGGCTTCGGAAACAGATAAAACTATGTAATATGTATAAAATCAATTTCGACATACAATCACATGTATTGTTTTTTTGTTGTTTTTTTAAAGTTTACAAAAGAAAGAAAATTAAATAGATATAAAAATATATTTACATGTACTGTAAAATATATATTATCATCAAAAAAACGAAAATAAGAAACAACAAAATGCAGAGCAAGAGGCTGTGATTAAAAAATGGCAGAATATGAGGTTTGAACGTACGTGTACAACATATCACGTACAACAAATCACTTAAAGTAACATTTAAGTCAGTTTAACGTCAGAGCCATGCAATTTATACACAAACAATAATATAAAACTTATGCTATATATATATATATATATATAGTGATCGGATTTTCCCATGTACCGTTAAGACCAAATTATCATCCTTGGACAAAACCGCTAAACAATACCTCACTTACAACTTCATTCATAATGGCAAAATTACGTCCTTCTAGGCATGCATGCACCGAAATGATGTCATTTTAACGCAGTTCATTCATGAAATTCGTCAATTTACAGCACAACAGCACGCGACTCATATGCATTCCCAGGCCAGATGAAATTTCTGGCATGGGTAACACTAAAGAAAACACTAGTGTCACATGCAAGAATACATTTAACTATTAGAACTACATTATTATATGTGGTATTATCATAGAATGCTAGTATTATGGTAACATCACATTAAACGGGAGATCTCCGTCCGCATTGTATCTGTCCAAACAATCGTGAGCTCCTGGTTGTTTACATGTTATAAACACGTTTGTTGTATAGTTAGGTCTGTGGGTTTTATGTCCCGTATATCTCCAATGTTCCGCGTGTCTGTATATTTCTTTGCCGTATCTATTTCTCATGAACAGCCCTGGGTTCCTTGGAACATTTACCCATTGTCCGTCAAATAAGACTTTGGTAGGGGCTATACCGTTTTTAACAAGCATTTGGCTGTCCATTACAGGATGGCCAGTAAAGTCACCATATCTACCTTTGTAATAAATGGCAAAATTGACTGGCTTACCTAACTTTTGGTTACAGCACCTTGAAACAAGGCTTTCTCCTTTCAAGCCAGCTGTTTTTAGTGCTTTATCAAGCAGTTTACATTTTGAACAGTTTGTTATTGAAAATCGCAAATCGTAGTCTATGTCCCAAGGGAGATTTTTCCCTAACTTGACAGCCCCTAACGCGGTACCTTCCTGCAACTCACATATAGTGCCAGTTTCCTCACATTTTTGCATAATTAGATTAATACCATCATTGTATACCTTCATTGCACAAGGTGATAAAGCTTTGGAAGGGCTACTCGATATTTTTACATTTTCGCAGTTGAGTTTCATTTCATTCCCCATTGGCAAATAGGCATGATAAACTTTCCAATATTCAGAAAATGCTTTCCAGTTCGAACCAGATACAGTAGTCAGGTTATCAACATGGAACATAGAATCTGGACATAAAATTGTTTCCCGGCCTGACTGGGTAATTCTGAGAAACCAATCTTCGTATAGACCGTTATTCTCGTCAATATTTTTAAAACTGTTTTCCTTCAGGTATTTAGCAGTCGTTATAAACGGACCTTGAATATAATCACAAAATAAACATTCATGAAATGACTCATCATATCCCTCCATATACTTCAATGTGTAATTTCTATACACCGACTGGAAACATCCTTTTCTCCAATGACCATTTGATTCACGAAACGCACCACCCACAGCTGTTACATTTATACTTTCTATTTCTCTAACTAGTCTTTCTAACCTTGAATCGTTTGTGAATTTATTCATTTTTCTTGCAACTAAGACATATGGAGTTTGTACATCTTTTATCAAACTGTTAAGTGCAGATCCCCCAGACTCGAAATTAGAGAAAATCAATTTAACTCCTGGGTATTTCTGTTCTAATTTACTCGGAAACGTTTCAGAATTAATTTTAACAGCTATTCGAATACTTGAATTATTCAGAGTGCTATTGATTGAAGAAATAAATCTATCAAGTGTAACCAAAGAACTTTCCTTACCACTTGGTAGTGCTATATATTTGATAACAGTAACAAGTTTTGATACTGGTACACTATAGGAACATTTTTCTGTGACAAAGCCTGTATAATACAGCGGATACCCGTATTGACCTCCTTTGTATATTTCTCCGCATATATGTTCAGATTTTTCACTCCTTCTTTCATACACTTCTTTCGGATTCACATTGATATCTCCAAGCATAGTGTTCACAATAGAAATAGCTTTTTTGAGAAAATCGGACGTTTTAGACCCACGGACATGTTTCTTTGCACTGTGAATTACTTTAGCAAGTGCTATCAGCTTTTCTTTTGAATCTTTTTTCGCTAAATGTTCTATATCTAGATGCACAGGAAGCTGACTTGACCAACCTTTAACAAGTGGCTCCACATTCTGCTGCAATAAACAAACACACTTGCTTTTACTCAAACGTTACAGTATCTGTTACAATATATGTGCAATGTGCAAATTCAAATGATATCCGTACCTGGACAAAACCAGAGAGTTTGTGATGTCGAAGATGTTAATATTCTTATTACTGTATACATCGTTATTAAGGGGCTGTCATATGTTTGTGCTTCCAGCTTACTTATATAAACCAATATTTGTATCACCGTATTTCTATCCCGTTAATAATAATCATTCAACCAATCAATCAATCAATTTTATTGATTTTCACTGATGAAGACATCTAGCGGAAACGTATGCAATAAATAATTACTGAATGTTCGTGTTTGTGTGGCTTCTAATACAGATTACTCGCGTTTAAGTTAATTATTAATTGTATCTAGATTGAAACGCTTTATCTAAACACTGAAGAAATTGATCACTTATCGGAACTATTTGTCTTTGAATGCGTAGTGTTGTATCTATTACCATCATACCAAGGGTAGTATATCATGAAACCATTATACTGATGTACATGTATAATTCAGCGGGAATATCTTTCTCGGGGAATATCTTTCCCAATTCAATAAATGCTTTAGTATAAAGGTAATGATGTATAGAACGAAACCATAAAGGTATTGTTGTAAGTGTATCGGTTTCTAAGCATATATATAATAAATATGTTATTTATCTGCTTAACCCATCACTTCATGAGCATTTTGTGAAAAATGGCTGTTTTCATTGAAAAGTCTCCCGTAACAAGTTCAAATTGCTATAATACTATAAAAACTGCTTCAACACTAATCAAACTTGGCACAAATGTTGACTGGACCATTGCCCTTGCAACAACATGCTCAGGCTTAAATTTTCTGTTACCATGGCAACGAGGGGACATCTCAAAATTGCCAAAAATCACTATTTTGCGTTGAATTTTTCCATCAAAATTGATTTCAAAGTGCTTCAACTTCTCAGTGGATTGAGATAGAGTCAAATGCTTTTCAGCGTTAGTTACACGTTACCTTATGATCAATCTTGGGTCATTTATAGCCTCTCACAAGTCCAAAATTTTCTTGCAATCTTCTGGCAACCCCCTGATGTATCTTTTGGTTGGGGGAACCGCGCCGAAAAAGAGGTCACTTTTTTAACAACATTTCTCAAACAAAAACAAGTGTTGGGGCCTAAATAAGGCATTTTTTCACCATTTGAGACAACAAAAAGGGGGGGGAGGCGTTAAAAGGCGAGTATATAACATAATGGGTTAATACGTATAACATCTTAAGGATATGCATGTACTATGCAAATACTTAAACAGAAATTTATTGATACTGAATAATTATGTCTAAGCGGTAAATCAATACGCCCTAAATTACTGTTTAAGTTTATGTGGTAGTTACTTTTAAACAAGCCTGTAAGTTTTTATAATGACAATTTTATGTTTACCATTACAGTTAAAGATTAAAACGTAACATATCTTCTTTGTGTGTAAAACGAGACTGTATAGGAAGTATCAGTAATTTTAAATTTGAGCATAAACTATCTTTTATAAACCAGAGTTTATACGTTTGTCGAAATTATAGTCAGCTATTTTGTGTATTTGACAACATTATTGAAAGTTGTTTTAAAAAATGCACATGAGCGATAAGTAGATATATCTCTATGAGATATTGCTCACACCATGAACAAATTTTATTCATTCTACTTTTTATTTATGGTATAAATATGGAAACAAAATAACTGACCAAAAAGTATGCTTTTGATTCATACAGAATTTATTTTGATTCGATTGTGTAGGAAGCTACAAGCGTATAGCCACACTTTCAAATCCGTTCCTGGCTCAAGGAAACAACGACCTGCCTATGACGGGCTTTGAACCCATGCGGCTAGCGATAATCAGATTACTAGTCTGACGCGTTAACCACTCGCAAATGCCGCAACTAAAAGTATCCTTCTTGTCATTAAATATATAAGGAAACGTACTTGTTCTTTAAAATACATGTATATTCATTTTCTCACTTACCAGTTATTAACAAGGTACCATTTCAAAAACGACATATTTTCTAGTATATAATCTCATATTATATGAGATTATTCTTCATTGATTTTGTTTAAAAAGATTTGGAATGGTTTCAAGGTAAACTATATCTACAAATAGTAATAATAATAATTGAACTAAAATAAATTCTGTATTAACCAAAACATTTTCAAAATTTTCATGAATCTGGAGGCATGCTGCTGTAAAGACTCATTAAGCCTAAAAAACAATGTTATCTTTATTTTGACCATTTGGCTGAGTCATCTTTTGATTTTCTATTTATGTTTTGACAGTAGGTAAAATTGTAGTGATTCATTTTTATTGAAGTCAAATATATCATTATTATTATTTTATATTCGGGTAACTTTAATTAATACAATTTATTTTCCACTCAGTTCTATTTTCTTCACTTGAGTAGCGTATCATATGCTCTTTATTCATTATAACAACATTATAAAATAAATGGCGAAATAATAATAATAAAAATCATTTACGTTGAGGCGAAATGTTCTTGAAAAACGTGCAATAAAATGAATAAGCAGTCTTACTTTCATTTGGTACGTCCCATATAAGTATGGAATAATGATAAAGGAACTGAGAAACATTGCCCCTAGAAACAGCTTCCATCTTGAATCCAAACCTTGCATTTTGTCCTCTGAAATCATAAAAAGAGAAATCGATATAATAAACATAGAAAGAAACAAAGATCACAAAAATGCTTAGTGCTATGAATAAAATATACCAGCTATAAAAAGTGAATAAATATTCCATGGCTGAACTGTGCTCTGGTAAATTCAATGTGGCTTACTGTCGTGATCTGGAGTGAAAACTACCTACCACTACATCACCAACATAAAAAGGTATATCTTGACATCAGTTAGTTGTACTAATATACGATATATAACGTTTGTGGTCAATATACAGTCTCCAGGGCATCATGTACGTGATATTGGCCTCTGACTATTGTCCTCGACCGATATGACTTTTACTCAGGTCAGAAAAACTATTTATCGACCTCAACATCAGTATATAATTATACAATATACCTCCTTGTCAAAAACATGAAACATGACAAAATATCAAAACTAAAAAACAGAATAAAGCATAGCAAAAATATCAAAATTAAAAATCACAATTAATAAATATATCTGTTTTCTCACTAACGAAATTCAGTAAATTGAGGTTTATTCTGGCTTTATGTACAAACATTGTTATGCAACACAGGTAGTGTAACACAACATAAAACAAACATGAGCGCAAATAAAACATGGCATGCACACCAACACCAAATGTGTACCATTCTTTCCGTTGCGGTCCCTAAGTGCTGGGGCATGACATGAGCAGAAAATGGTTATACTTGATGGAAACTATCACAGAAAATATCTCAAAGAATATTTTAACACAATTGTATCCACACAATTGTATCAAATATGCTATGTAGTGTTAGTATAATCATCATGTATAACCCATAGTAGACTAGTAGTCCTATTATAGGAACAAACAAACATTACCATAGAAGATTTATAAGTACTTGAGTGTTTGATAAAACGTGTCAATGAGCTGATGAGTTTGGCTGATCAAAACACTAACTTTAGCATGAGGTAATGAATACTATGCACCCCTTTTTACAAAGTCGTATGTTATATTGTGTCTTATACAGTATTGACAGGATCTTGTGGAATAAAATCATCACTCCTGTAGGCCGGCGCCAACATTGAGAACAAATCTCATTAACTTGTTATGTGTTGTTTGGAGTTTTTTTTTTCAAAACCTGTGTTAACCCATGATACTAGATTGAACATAGATAGTCAAAATGAGACTGTCTAGAAATATTTTAGTATGATGGGTAAAGTTACTTTTATTATTTATTTACTTATTCATTTATTATTTTTGTAAAGAATTTTGAAACCGTGCTCGGAATATTCCATGTAAATTCGCATTTAAAGAATGGAAATTTTAGACATCGTTCACTCTCGAACCTAATAAGTCTTAATGATTTTAAGTATAGATCTATGTCTGTATTATAATAACAATATATATGATTTGTTTTAATATCAAGAATTATTCGTGTTAACCATAATAAACAAATTATTTACCTGCGCATTATTCCAATAAGCACCTGTCTGATACTATTGATCAGCTTCTGCTAGATGCTACCAGTATGATGGCTGATGTCTGAAGATTAATATTTAAACAGCCATTATTGGACTTCCATATAGCTGTATGGAATAAATCTGTCACCATGGCAACTATTTCATTATAATTGAGGATATTTTTGTGTGAAACGTGTACATTCTCCCCTTATTTTATGATTAGAACACAAACTGACAATGAAATGTTCTTGTGTACTTAACTATATCACTGTCAAAGGACATTCTTAAGGAGTGTTATTCCTGGCAATTTAAATTATGATACTAATAGCTGCATGCCTCCAGATAAGCAAAAATATTTCGATAAAATCAAACCTGAGAAAAATGTACTAAGATTTTAGGAAAGGTATAAAGATTTAAAATTCTAGTAATAATTTTCATGTTATGTGCGATTAATGCATGGCTTAATGGCTATTTTTGCATATTTTAACTTCTTTATAGTAATTTACATAGGTTGTAAGTGTCATTGAAAATGTGTAAATTGCATTTTTTTGTAATTTTATAACAATATACTGTTAAATGCATTTTAAAATGTCCATGGAAACTAGCATGAATCTGGAGGCGAGCTGCTTTAAGAGTGGTTTGGTCAAGAGACAACGTGTTACGTGCAAAGATTTATATCTTAATACCTACTAAAGAAATTTTTATAGATTGATTTTGATAAGAAAATATTCATTTAATAACAGCTAATGAGAAATTTTCAGCTGGCATTTTCTTTATAAATCAAAATTGATCTTTTCCAACCATTTGATGAGGGTTGATATTATGTGTATAAATGTATGTTGATGTCATAAACTGTTGTTATTTTGCATGTTTTGAGTCCTCGTGGGCTTTAAAGTTTATTGGAATAAAATGAAATGTCTATTGTCTACGGTTAATTTGACAAAAATATTCTATTTGGTTAATGGTTTGCAAGAATTGATGAAGTGTTCCGCTTTCTGAGAGTAGATGCATGAATCTTTGAGCATTTTCATAGAGTAGATGAATTAATCTTTGAGCATTTTCTGAGAGTAGATGAATTAATCTTTGAGCATTTTCTTAGAGAAGATGCATGAATCTTTGAGCATTTTCTTAGAGTATATGAATGAATCTTTGAGCATTTTCTGAGAGTAGATGAATTAATCTTTGAGCATTTTCTTAGAGTAGATGCATTAATCTTTTAGCATTTTCTTAGAGAAGATGCATGAATCTTTGAGCATTTTCTTAGAGTAGATGCATGAATCTTTGAGCATTTTCTTAGAGTAGATGCATGAATCTTTGAGCATTTTCATAGAGTAGATGAATTAATCTTTGAGCATTATTTGAGAGTAGATGAATTAATCTTTAAGCATTTTCTTAGAGTAGATGCATGAATCTTTGAGCATTTTCTTAGAGTATATGAATTAATCTTTGAGCATTTTCTTAGAGTAGATGCATTAATCTTTTAGCATTTTCTTAGAGAAGATGCATGAATCTTTGAGCATTTTCTTAGAGTAGATGCATGAATCTTTGAGCATTTTCTTAGAGTAGAGAGCATTTTCTTAGAGTAGATGCATGAATCTTTGAGTATTTTCTTAGAGTAGAGAGCATTTTCTTAGAGAAGATGCATGAATCTTTGAGCATTTTCTTAGAGTAGAGAGCATTTTCTTAGAGTAGATGCATGAATCTTTGAGCATTTTCTTAGAGTAGAAGAAGATGCATGAATCTTTGAGCATTTTCTTAGAGTAGAGAGCATTTCCTTAGAGTAGATGCATGAATCTTTGAGCATTTTCTTAAAGTAGAGAGCATTTTCTAAGAGTAGATGCATGAATCTTTGAGCATTTTCTTAGAGTAGAGAGCATTTTCTTAGAGTAGATGCATGAATCTTTGAGCATTTTCTTAGAGTAGAGAGCATTTTCTTAGAGTAGATGCATGAATCTTTGAGCATTTTCTTAGAGTAGAGAGCATTTTCTTAGAGTAGATGCATGAATCTTTGAGCATTGTCTGAGAGTAGATGTATTAATATGAGAGTATTTTCTTAGCGTAAAGAGCATTTTCTTAGAGTAGATGCATGAATCTTTGAGCATTTTCTTAGAGTAGAGAGCATTTTCTTAGAGTAGATGCATGAATCTTTGAGTATTTTTTGAGACATGTTGCATGTCATGTATGTATCTGAAGACGAGCTTAAGAATGTATGTGTACTATGGGTACATTTTATCACATTAATACATGACGTTTGAGATGTTTATCCTTTCGTAAATTTTACGCCGATATGTTGTTTATAGTTTGGAGGCGTTTCTATTGAAATTGAGTCATAGTTAAATCGTAAATGAAAAGTGCATTTACCGGTGTGCAGGTATAATTACCCGTACTCAAGTTACCGCGCTGTCTGTCGGAAATAAAAAAAAAACATCCTATTGGCGAAAAGGATAATGATAGAAAAGTCATATCACGTACATCGATCAACTTTTTTCTGGGGATGATAAAGAACGCCCTATCGTACAAATAAGATGTTCTATTACATGTTACATGATATAGTTTCTTTTAAATGATCTGAATGACGGGTTTAGTTAAGAAACACAATTCATTTAGTTCATTCGTGCCAAAACTTAATTCAACCAATACTATCCAAGCAATGTATTTCATACTCAAGGCCCTTTTCCATTCGACCAGCAATCCTTTATTTATAACTGTAATTTTCTTATCTATATCAAATAATCAATAGATGTTTATTCTTAAATCGTTGAAAAGAATACGCGCGGTTATCCGTGCAAATTAATACCCGTGTTAAGCAGCATTCAATGTTTTGTTTTTTGTTGTTGTTGATTTTTTTTGTTGTTGTTGTTTGGGTATTTAGTGGTGATGTTGCTGTTCTTATTTTTGAAGTCACGCCGACACTGTAAGTAGTATAGAACCACCGACCTTCCATAAACTAGCTTGATAACTTTCCCACTGACTCAAAGTCAGCGATTTTAGGCACTCGGCCACCGAGACCACATAGCCATCTTGTATCATAGATTGGGGACCTTTCTGTTGAAAATATGTCAGAGTTAAATTGTATACATATACATGCACAGTGCGTTAACTGGAGTGCAGGTATTAGTTACCCGCACTCCAGAGCATACCCATTGATTGGCTCATTTAAGTTTTGGTGGGCTTTACTTATTTAGACGGCAGAGAAAGGGAAAGCTGCTCGTTACTTTTTTCTTGGGTTTCATATTGTGACAACAGGGAACGTGTTTTTATGTTTGACTATGATACAAAAGAGAAAGAACATCAACACACTCGGCAATCTGCTTAATAGTCGGGGGCTATGCCCCCTCGTAAAAATAAGATAGCCTCGTGTTTCGATGCTTTTTTTATTACTAATAACATGTTTAGCGTATAAATTGACAATAGATAATGAAAAATATTTAACCTGCCCTTCTTCACTTTTTAAACTGGCATAGGCCGTGGTTAAGTCTGACCTTCTGACCTTATTGTTTGGACGGTGTTAAAACATAGTGTGGGGGACATTTTTAATTGTAACAATACATTTTTATGACTGTATATGTCGTAAAATGAGATGAAAGAAACAGATAGAATGACAAGGCATCCGGTTTCAAATAAAACCTAGATGGTATCAATTTTACTATTGTACAAAACATTTTTTAGTTTAAAACAAATACAAAGCAATTACATTCACATGTGAAGTAAATGATTGATTGTTGAAATTTGTAATTTGGTTTGTTGTTTTTTATTTTATCTATTTATTTATTTGTTAATTCATGTCGCACCATCACAAGCAGAGAAGAGCACAGAGGCTCCTTCGTGCCAAGTAGGCAACTAACTAAAACACCCGACCATACGTTAAATAGCGCCGTAACATGAAAAAAACTAAATACCTTCACGGCTCGAACCAACAAAAGAAAGGGGCAAGTGATTTGAACTCAGCGGCAATAAGCACCCTGGCACGGAGTCCCCTTGGTTTACGATTTAAGTCATTTGATTTAATGCCCGTTTAACAAATGGAAGAATACATCTAGTGTGTATTAGAAGAACTATTGTGGTTCCGTAATTTGGAATTCAAACCCATAGGCGGCGAGGGACAGGTGGTTTTAAGTTTACAAATTTAACGAGCCGCCCATGGATATATTTATGAAAATAGAATATATCTAGATTCGTTACAGACAGAAAAAAATATGCTTGATAAATAGTTATACTTTAAGATATAAAATTATTAATTAAAATCTAGTAAAAGTGAAAACAGAAACGAAATTCCAAGTTCTTAAATTAGATTCAATTAACAAGAATAAAACATACATGGGTTGGCTAAGAGCATTCATATGCAATATACAGAAGCCCCCCCCCCCCCCCCCCCTCATATTTATTACCCTTTGTTGAAATATAATTGCGTCTCTATTCATGGGTATAACCTTGAAAAAAAATTAATGGACTCTTGTCATATAAAACCACTTATTTGGTTGCGTTCTTTAGATGACATTTTTTTCCATCTGAACTCGTTCTGAAGAATATTTATTACAATTTATAGACAGACTCAATAATTCTCATGATAATATAAAATTCACATGTACTGTAAGAAACAATTACATTTTTGGATGTTAATATTGTAAAATGTGATGATGGTACGCAGCATACTTGTGTTCATGAAAATGATACTAATAGTCTTCATCAGTATACAAACTTTTCATCATGTCAACCTGTTTCTTTCAAAAAGGGTGTTCCGTTTAGTCAAGCTAAACGCTATAAGCGTATTAGTTCAGACGATGATGTTTTTAGAAAAGTTTGTCAAAATCAGTGAATTTTTAGCCCAGAATTATCTAAATATTTTAAATGATACATTTTAAAAGGTGACTTCTTTGACATAGCAAGATGCTCTTTTAACTTGTAAAAAAATAAAGATAAAGTCGTTCCTTTTGTATGCACTTACAATCCATCCTTGCCAAATATTGGTGAAATAATAAACCATTACTGGAATCTTTTCAAATACTCTGAACATGAAAGTTTTAGAGAACTGCATGCCTATAACGTTTCATTGCATAAAAACCACCAAAGAATATTCAAGATATTTTAGTTCACTCTAAACTTAACAATGCACCTAAAACTGGTAAAGTATTAAAATGCATAAGACCTCGCTGTTCCCATTGTTTAAAAATAGATAAAAAAAATCATTGTAGCTTGAATTCTAAATAAAAAAAAAACAAATATTTTCCTTATATCCTAAACTGTATATTAACATTGAAAACATTGGCTTGAATGTGCCATATTTTTAGACGAATTTGTAAAACAAACTCACCTACAGGTATCCAGATATCCTTGTCAATAAAACATAGCCAAAATATAAAGTACGATGTGGAACCGTAATCTAACTGATCACGTCTTTCATACACACAAGTTTAGGTATATTGTGTTACAGTATGGCGACGAGCTATTATAATTATGTAGAAATACATAATAGTCGAGTTTGGTATAACTGTTTTATCGCATGATAAAACAGAAATAAGAATTTTGATTAGACATAAAAAAATCAAGTTATATTTTGCTTCCCTCTTCAAATTCTTTACACGGAACCTCAGTTACTCTTTATAGTACATGTCAATGGCCATGCTACCAGGGTGTTTCTGATTGGTTGGACGACAACACATTGCAGTAAATAATTGTGACACGCCACTAAAGATTGAAATATGATCAAAAAGGGGGTGGCAGGGAAAAAAAACAAATATATGGTGGCTGATTTGTTCCATTCGAGTTTTCGCCCCGCGACGCCGCCAAGCGAAAAGTAGTTAAAATGGCGGGGAAGGCTAATTAGCGGGACGCGGGCGGAGTTTATTGTTGTAAGACCAGCACGCTACCACTACACAACATTGTTTCATTGCAAAGACTATGGTCAACAAGTACAAATGTTGCTGCAATGCAGCAATTGAGAAGCTCCGCGCAAAAAAATGTGCTCATTACAGATACCTTACCAAATTATTCCTACGCACAGGTCATGTTATATTCAGATTAAGTACTATTGTAGATTTTTTCCGAATGTTTTGTAAACCATTTTTTGCATAATTATACTTATCTTATGCACTGTCCATAATTAAAAAGAGGGGAAAAATATTTAATATAAAAAATGCTTTCACTGATGCCTACCTGGTAAGGAAAGTAATTCCATTGAATACAAACAAGACTTACAAGACTTGTAAATGTTATGTGACATGACTGTACTGTGTTCTGTTTCAGTAACAGAAGATAGATGATAGAAATATCAAAGTCTAAATATACAAATAGTAACAAAAGGGACTAATATTATAATAAAGTAATATAACATGCATATTTTTCATGTCAAAAAATTGTTTCTTTCAATACTGAAAGTAGAACACACTCTGGAATGAAAAAAATGGGATGAATTTCCAAAAGACCAAATTCAGGATTTTTTTGTTTGTTATACACGCGTTTCATGGTGATACAGTATTTATCAATATAATAACTGTTACCTGAATTTTAGGTAGGTATGAGGAAATTCACTAATATCATATTCGTGCGAGACAAAGATATGAAAGCTATTTGACATTGGTAATATATAAAAAAAACTATTGTTAATTAATTTTTAGGGAGATCAATATATATTTTTTGTTGAATTGCTTTAAAACCATTCATAAAAAACATTACACTTCATGTTCAAACTGCAGATCAAAGTTTCTGTTGATGTCATGATAACTATCTATAGCCTATGCTTAAGGGGATTCCGCTTTGTCAGCCATGTTTGTTTTAACTAAAGTCTGTCCAAAGTGAAAGTAGGCCAAAATTCATATAACAACAAAGTTTTTATTGTAAAATGATGAACCATTTGAAAATACACTTCCATGTTTATATTTTAAGGACAATTATAAACAAAAATAAAAATGATAACAATAAGAATATTTACCTTGAATGTGCTACATTTCTGAAGACCAAAAACATTCTGTTGCAAAGTTTTATGCACATTTCATGAATGGCAAAATCCTTTTAAAAGTCTGTTTTAGTGCCAGCAAAAGCTATTTTTTTGCAGCAAATACAAAAATCTTTCAAAACTAAACTCCAAATAAATCAGTATCTCATGTCCTTCTAAGCACATGGCCTCCATTATTTTTTGTAAAAAAAGTAGTGCAAGAAAACAATCATCATTTATAGCCTTATGAACTACAATTAAAATGAAAACACAATCAAACTTTAAAATCTAACCTTTTTATGTTTAACAGTGAAGTGTGTCTGTTTGTCATGTACACAAGAAATAGGTAAATGGTGTTTATTTTCATGGTACTACTTTTTTGCGACGGACGCGCCCTCAGGCGCGTTCAGAGCTAAGTCATCTACACATGGGATTTCGTTGGCTACAATCGCGCAATGTGTCCTAAACCAATTAACAGCCCAAGAAATAGTACATGAATTTGATCCTTCAAAACTCCCATACTTTGTCTGGATATCTTAATGTCTTCCATATTTAGCCTTTTCAATTTCAAATTAAGTTATCCAAGTTAAAATATGAACGTATATTATTGATAAAAACGTTGTAGTCCCGTAGTATTATTGCGCAATATGCAAATTACTGCTGAAACGATTTACCGCTGTCGAAAAAGTAGGACAGCAAATTATACTACAATAAAGGTGTAACCTCTGAGTTCCAAGACATTATTAGTAGGAAATAAATATTTCTACATTATACAAAACATTATTATTAACAAATCAAAAGTTTTCCGTGACTCTAGGATAACTCGCGCATTAATAAAAGAAGAACTATTTTCGTGACTCATACCGCGGGTTTTAGCTGAATATTCAGCAGTTATTAATATATTAGATACAGTACAATGGCTAGTATAAATATCTATTTTTGAAAATGCATGTAAGACACTTTACCGCCATGTAGTCTTTCATGGTAAGGAAGTTATAATATCAGTTCTACTTCCGATTCTTGTGGTTTGTTTACATATTTTACTAGGTCATGATATGAGTTAACCTTCGCTATTCTAAAAATAGATTTTGCTTCACCTGTTTCTGATTTTTGGACAGGCGATTAGGAAGTACACATTAAACATGTAATTAATAAACCAGCGGATTTGTAAATGCAATACTTTTAGAAATGCTATACAATTGTAAGAAGCAAACAAGTTGAAAATGGAATTTTAGTGTGAAGTTGAAAAGGACAAACTAAACACTGTAGTGCTTAAGTGACATTTAAATTAAAATAAAAACTATGTGCTCTGGCCTCTACATCTTTACCTTGTAAATAAAAAAATCTAAGAAATACAGTATTAATTGCTGATGATTTAACGAATTTTTTTTTTTAATGAGACATATCCAAGAGAAATAAAAATACAAATGACTTATATTTTATTGTCTGTATGCCCACTATGATATAACACGAAGCAATTCTAAATAGCATTCTCAAAATGTATAATGTATTATGTTTGAAGTTTATTTGCCTGGATTTATTCTAGAAATATTTCGTTGATAGTTTTTTTTCTATTTACATATCATTTCTTAGAATAAATCGATAAGGACACTGATTTACAAGTTTGACCAGAGTTTTTATGCATAAATTTCATTCTGTATTTAAGTGCTTGAAAGTAGAAAATCTGAATTATATCAATTTGGGACACAAAATATATTGCTCTACAAATCTCGAACTTGTATGGAACAAATTTTCTCTGTTATATATTTTTTGTTTTGTTTTTGTTTTGTTTGTTTTTTTTCTAAAAGAAGCCTTAATGTCTCTCCGGTTGCATGTCCGTCGCATTCAGTGCTGCAGCACTTTGATTTACACATGTCATGGAGGCCATGTTTTTTCAAGGTCAGATAAACTACTTTCCTAAGATTTATGTTTTTTAAAGTTTTTTTGTATTTTCTGCAAAAAATAGCATTTGTTTGCACTAAAATAGACTTTAAACTGGATTTTGCCATTCATGAAATGTGCATAAAGATTTGCAACAGAATGTTTTTGGTCTTCAGAAATGTAGCCCATTCAAGGTAAATTCCTTATTGTTATCATTTTTATTTTTGTTTAAAATAGTCTTTAAAACATAGAATTGGAAGTGTACTTGCAAATGGCTCATCATATAACAATGCGAGCTTTGTTGTTATATGAATTTTGGCTTACTTTCACTTTGCATGGACTTTGTTAAACCAAACTTGGATGACAAAGCGGAATCACCTTAATGAGGGTCCATCCGCTCTTAAGGCTACAATATTGCAGCTTTCGTTGTCGAGTACGGACCCCCGAACATGTCACCAGTCATACCATTATCACAAAGTGGTATGCTGTACCTAGTGAAATGTAACATTATATACTAAAGTTTAATTATTTCAAAACAACCAATATCTCAACATGTTATTATTAAACATTTAATTTCATAAATATAAATTAAAAATTAATTATCAAAAGCAAAATTGTTAAAATCTTTTGCCTGAAATCTTCTTTATATTGACAAATTCAATCACTAATAGTATACTTGATATGCTGTGTGTAAATGTATTTCAAAATGTAACAAATTATAATTTCATGTACTACTAAAAAAGGGAAATAACAAATTTATAACCTAAGTGTCAAAAATCAAAACATTTATAGCTATTTATAGCTTTCGAATTTATGTAACAGCAGAACTGCTTTCCGGTTCTCATTCATTAATATGACATGCTGCAAATCACCGACGAGGAAACGAATATAGAAATCGAAAGGAGTTCTTGAATGCGGATTTACTTTTAGCTGTTAATCGAAAGGATTTATTGCTCAAATCCGGGCCCATGGACAAAAAAAATAGTAAACACAAATAGCTCCGCGCCTAAAAGCATATTTTCCCTCCGAGTCGACGGGATGCTTACAAAAAAAAGTTTTGCAGGTGCGCGATGACGTAGAATCCTACCATTGTGGGAAGTAATGTAAGTTCGAAAAACTGTTTCTGCATTTGTTTATGTGTTTAGCTTTCTGTTCATCAATTTATTTAGCTGCAGAGAGAATGCATACACAAACAAAATGATTATAAGGTCAAATATGGAATTGATAAGCATGAAAATAGCCATTTATGAAAAACATACCAAAATAACTTAAATAGTGGAAGAAAAGAAAAAAACATTAACCTTTCCCTGTTTGAACCAAACATTAATAACCTTTGCCACCAGTATAGAGCCGGGTCAGCCTGCACAGTGCGGTCTGTATAGGCTTTATACTGTTGGGAGCCTTTAAACTTAATTTTCACCTTGACACCCCCAAAAACTGATAATATACATTCACAGAAACGGAAAATGGACAAGTCTATTTGAGAAACTCAGCAGGTTAGGGATGTCTGCTATAGTTTTCATACAGACTTACATGACAACGGTTTCTTAGTGGCTTCATCGTGGATGGTCACGTGAACCATGTTTGAAGTATGGAGGAAAACGTGATCAAACATGATTGGTAAATCAGCGCTGTGACGTGTACTTATTTTAAATTAATTGACACGTTCTTAGACTTGGTCTAAAAGTAACATTTTAAATGATATTATGTCTTGGTCGATGATTTAGTTTTTCAAATATTTGCCCTTAAATTTGATTGTTGCTAATTTTGAATAATTTCAAGAGCAAATAACATTCACAAAAGTCTAACAAGTCAGTTTCACTTTAGGTTTATCTTATTTCTATTCTTAGAATTAAAGTGATGAATGGTTTAGCTGGACAGGTCTTTAGGCATCGCGCATATTGAAAAGGACAATTGCAAAGAAAAACAAAAAATTCGCAGAGAAATAAAAATCAATTGGCAGAAAAATTCTTGGTGTATTAAGCTTGTAAGTCTATGAAAATGTCTCATACCTCCGATACTTCCTGTGACCATTATTATCATTACCCTGTCAAAATTCACTATAGGCACCATATATAATAAATCTTTATGTTTTATGCTGAACTTGGGCATGAAAGATGGCGTTTTGTTTTACTCAACCACATATTCACTTGTAATAAAAATAAGCTCGCGAATTCATATTTCGAAATTGTACTTTTTACCTCACCTGAGCTTGCTCAGGGTGAGCTATTAGGATCGGTGAATGTCCGTCGTACGTCCACAATTGCTTGTGAACACACTAGTGGTCACACTTATGACTCAATCATCATCAAACTTTGTCAGGATGCTTGTTTAGTCAATTGCTCGGATGAGTTCGAAACTGGGTCATTTCGGATGGAAAACTAGGTCAAAGGAGCTAAAAATAGAAAAACCTTGTGAACACTCTAGTGGTCACATTTTTGACCCAATCATCATCAACCTTTGTCAGAATGCTTGTTTAGATTATTGCTTGGATGAGTTCGAACATGGGTCATCTCCGATGAAAATCTAGGTCACAGGAGCTATAAATAGAAAAACCTTGTGAACACTCTAGTGGTCACATTTTTGAACCAATCATCATCAAACTTGGTCAGAATGCTTGTCTAGTCAATTGCTTGGATGAGTTTGAACATGGGTCATCTCTGATGAAAAACTAAGTCACAGGAGCTAAATATAGAAAAACCTTGTGAACACTCTAGTGGTCACATTTTTGACCTAATCATCATCAAACTTTGTCAGGATGCTTGTTTAGATAATTGCGCAGATGAGTTCGAATATGGGTCATCTCTGATGAAAAACTAGGTCACAGGAGCTATAAATAGAAAAACCTTGTGAACACTCTAGTGGTCACATTTTTTACCCAATCATCATCAAACTTAGTGTGGATGCTTGTTTAGTCAATTGCTCAGATGAGTTTGAATATGGGTCATCTCTGATGAAAAACTAGGACACAGGAGCTAAAAATAGAAAAACCTTTTGAACACTCTAGTGGTCACATTTTTTACCTTATCATGATCAAACTTTGTCAGGATGCTTGTTTAGATAATTGCTTTGATGAGTTTGCACATGGTTTATCTCCGATGAAAAACTAGGTCACAGGAGCTATAAATAGAAAAACCTTGTGAACACTCTAGTGGTCACATTTTTGACCCAATTATTAAGAAACCTTGTCAGGATGCTTGTTTAGTCAATTGTTTGGATGAGTTCGAACATGGGTCATCTCGGGTGGAAAACTAGGTCACAGGAGCTAAAAATAGAAAAACCTTGCGAACAGTCTAGTGGTCACATTTTTGACCTAATCATCATCAAACTTTGTCAGAATGCTTGTCTAGTCGATGCTTGGATAAATTTGAACATGATTTATCTCGGATGGAAAACTAGGTCACAGGAGCTAAAAATAGAAAAACCTTGTGAACACTCTAGTGTCACATTTTTGACTCAATTATCATCAATCTTGGTCAGGATGCTTGTCTAGGTAATTGCTCGAATGTCAAGCTCGAATATGGGTCACCTGGGGTCAAAAACTAGGTCACACTGCTCAAATATGGATAATCCTTGTTAACACTAGTGGTCACATTTTTGACACACCTGTCATGAAACTTGGCCCTCTTGTTATGTAATTCGTCGCCTTAATTCCATATGTAATGATGTAAGTCGTATTTTGACAATTTTGAGAAAATAGACTACAAAGTTTTGACAGACTATAACTTCACTCTTACTCAACCAATTTTAATATAAAATATATCTACGTGTGCAGAATGATTTACATTTTGAATTAAAAATAAGTTCCTATAGAGGTTTTTTTTTTTAGAAAATAAAAACAAAAGAATGAAAAATCACCAAATCATAAATTTTATTAAAGAAGATACAAGAACCCGTATGCTGTAACAAGTTACAGCAATCTGACCCTAAAAATATAAGGATATTTAGAAGTTACAGCAGAGTGGAATAATGACTATTTTACTGTTTTATACTGAAGTCATATTTATTAGGACGTAACTTAAAATTGGGTTGTTTAACGAATAGTCTGGATCCACATTAATTTAGGCACATAGCATGGAATCTGATCATGATCAATACAGTTTATTAGTCTAAAAAGACAATAATATAAATCAAGACAACGCAGTGAAATGTGAATAGCCATGAACAGTCATTTTAGGGTTGTATTTGAACTCTTACTTGAAATAGTGAGCCTTGCAAATGAACAACAAAACAAAATATTATTGATATTGCAAATGCAACATCATTGAGATAAAAACAAACAACAAAGTTCAGAAACATTTTCATTGTATTGATATTAACCACATTAAAAAAAGAAAAACTTTTATCACATGATATGCTATTTTCACATTAAGATTGTACACTTCAAAATGTTTAGAATTCAGATATACTGTTGGTTTCATTTATTATAACATTCATTCATTCCAAATTAAATTTTGAATACCTGTAGCATTTAGACAAACAGCATGTTGAACAAAATTAAACTTAGAAAACACACAGAAATGTTCTAAAAATATAACTGCTTTTACTTTTAAAAACAATATCAGCAACTGTAACATAAAAGAAGAATAAAGCTAGTATGTATTTAACTTTTCTAAAAACAACATTATCTGATGCTTTATTTAAAAAACAATTTAAAAAATTTGAAACGCCAATAAAAGCTCACAAATTATCAAAGATACTACAGATCTGGATATGGTGTTTCAAGGAACTACTGTAATTCAATTACAAACACTACTTATATATAGAGCGGCGTATAATTGAATATTTGTTTGATTGTTTGTTTGTTTGTTTGTTTGTTTCATTTTACGCCTTTTCCCAACAGTATTTCAGTCATATAGGCGGGTAGTTTCCTAACCATCGTTCCTGGAGAGTTACACCAGTACTAGACTACCTTCCTCCGCGCTAAACTACCAAAGCATCTCCCGGGGATCGAACCCACGCCAGAGAGGTAACTGGATTAGAGTCATCGACTCTAACCCCTCGACAACGGAGGCGGTTACAATTGAATAAAATGATATTGGACTTAACATAGACATATAGAGGGGGGGGGGTGTGATCATGATTCATGCCTGCATTGTGCACTTTTCTATTAGAACAGACTGACGAGTATCCAACTTATAGTGATAAATTGATCGTAAATATAAAATACAATTAATGAATTAATGTATAGGGAAAAAAATTACTAAATTGATATTTAGAATCCAAATGGAACAAAATTGATTTTAGGAATCATAATAAAATTGATAAATTTACTCTTAATTAATAATGTAAATGGTTGATTCATGGCTAAATATAAACAGTCAAAATTAAATACCTTATTACCTTATGACACCATATAGGCTGTGCCGTATGCGCATTACTTTGTTCAGATATGCATGTGATAGCCATAACATGTTGTATCATTATATTTTTTGTTTCCTTGTAGAAAGGATAAATTTGCATTAATATAGTGTTTGTTATTTTACTTTAAATAAATATTACTGAATTAATTGCTTAATTCTGAATGTAAATTCTATTGACATGTTATTCAACAAACATTTGATATAACAAATATAACAATATAAAGACGCCTCAATGTTGTTATATGATCTACGCACTTTGTACTATTTCTTCACAATGATATGGTCCAGTAACAGATTTTAGTTAACTAAAAGAAAAACAACAATTATAATAATAGTATATATTACAATATAATAACTTATTAAAATAATAATAAAAACAAATCTTTCTGCTTTTAACAGTATCTTTCATAAAATATTCCGAAAACTCTTGGAAATAAGATCATTTTTAACCCTTTATTCCATCACCTTCCACATCTCCATGGATACTCATTTCAACTCACTTTAGTGTACATTCATGTAAATTGTCAATACACAACAGACAAAAGGAATTCCATTTTATCATTTTTAAAAAACTTTTAACCAAGCATATTTTTTTTCTTTAAAAAATACTTTAGGTATTGGATAATTTTCAGTAAAAACGTTCAAATCGATTGATAATTACAGGCAGTATTACCTTACGATTTGGAAGTTTATGTACTAGAATTATTTTTTAACTTAAAAACTTAGATTAATTTTGCTTTGCATGCTCCGATTCAATAATGAATTTTACCGTAAGACTGGAACTGATTATATAATCTGATTATGATGATAAAAAGGTATATAGACAGACACCCTGTGGATTTATGCAAACTAGCTGAGGTGGTCAACAGGGTGGCATTCTGTTTATTCAATTTTGTGATCTTGTATTCAACAACTAATTGGTACATCTTAAGACATATCTCAGCTTTTTTACTTTTGTTATAGGGATATTGTCAACTTTTACCAACATAGGGATATTGTCAACTGTTACCCACATAGGGATATTGTCAACTTTTACCCACATAGGGATATTGTCAACTTTTACCCACATAGGGATATTGTCAACTGTTACCCACATAGGGATATTGTCAACTTTTACCCACATAGGGATATTGTCATCTGTTACCCACATAGGAATATTGTCAACTTTTACCCATAGGGATATTGTCAACTGTTACCCACATAGGAATATTGTCAACTTTTACCCACATAGGGATATTGTCAACTGTTACCCATAGGGATATTGTCAACTGTTACCCACATAGGAATATTGTCAACTTTTACCCACATAGGGATATTGTCAACTGTTACCCATAGGGATATTGTCAACTGTTACTCACATAGGGATATTGTCAACTTTTACCCACATAGGGATATTGTCAACTATTACCCACATAGGGATATTGTCAACTGTTAACCACAAAGGGATATTGTCAACTTTTAACTTTTACCCACCGATAGTCTTGGACATACTGGTATAAGAACCCGAACACGTGATACAGGACTGAACAATACTGCTATTTTAAATGTTTCTTTTTCTTTCTTTCTTTCTTTCTTTCTTTCTTTCTTTCTTTCTTTTTTCTTTCTTTCTCTTTCTTTCTTTCTTTCTTTCTTTCTTTCGATATGACTGTGGGTATTCTTGGATTGCATAATACCTTGGACAGTAAAACTTTTGGTATTTTTGTGATCGTTATAAGAAAGTGAAGAATTATGAAATAAAGCTTTTTTTACCTAATGACCACTTTATTCAGTAGAATATGACAAATGTTGAACAAGGGAAAACCCTAACATTAATATTACAGCTAATACTGTATAAAAGATGTCAAGCCATATTTCCTATACAAGCTAAAAGCATGCATTTCCTGGTATCTCTAATGCTACGGTCTTACGACAATAAACAACAAAAACTTATTTGTCAGTTTTTACAACATATACAACACTTGGTATATGATGTAAGTGTGTTAAAGGGGTCATATCACTTTAAAACTGATAATTCATGGAAGCATCACTGTAAATTGTATGTTTCCATCACCGTTGTATCTATCTAAACAATTATGTGCACCTGGACTTTTGCAAGGTATAAACACATTTGTTGTATAGTTCGGTCGAGGGTTTGTATGTCCTGTATGCCTCCAGTGATCAGCATGCCTGTACAACTCTCGACCATATCTATTTCTCAAAAACATTCCAGGGTTTCTCGGGGCATTTGCCCATTGTCCATGAAATAATAGTTTTGTAGGAGGTATACCACTTGAAAAAAGCATTTGGCTGTCCATTACAGGATGACCAGTAAGGTCACCATATCTACCCTTAAAGGAAATGCCAAAGTTTTTTCGGTCACCCAACTTGAGTGTCTTTGAACAACAATCAGGTGAGAGGTGAGCATTTACTCCAGCACTTTTTAATAATTTTTCGAACCGTTGACATGCCGAACAGTTAGTCAAGGAAAATCGCAAATCGAAGTCTAAGTCCCATTGGATATTTTGTCCTAATTTGGCGGCCCCTAACGCAGTGCCTTCTTGCAACTCGCATATGGTTCCGCTTTCCTCACATTTCTTCATAATGACTTTGGTAGCGTCATTGTATACTTTCAATGCGCAGGGTGACAATACTTTCGTGGGATTTATTGCTATCTTAACGTTTTCACAACTTCTAGTAACTGTCTCACCAGATGCTGTATTGATATTGAAAACATCCCAAGTTTTCGCAAACTCGTTCCAATTTGAACTCGACTTTATGTTCTGGTTGCTAACATGGAACATACTGTCCGGACACACAATTGTTTCCCGGCCTGACTGGCCAATTCTGAGGAACCAGTCTTCATATAATCCATTATTTTCTTCAAGACTTTTGAATTCGTTTTCCTTCAAGTATTTAGCAGTCGTAAGAAATGGACCTTGAATATAATCACAAAACATACATTCATGAAATGAATCATCATATCCCTCCATATACTTCAAAGTGTAATTTCTATAATACGTCTGGAAGCAGCCTATTCTCCAATAACCATTTGTTTCCCGAAACGCGCCACCAACAGCTACCACATCTATACTTTCTATTTCCCTAACTAGCCTTTCTAACATTGTGTCGTTTGTGAATTTATTCATATTTCTTGTAGCTATGACATATGGAGTTTTTACATCTTTTATTAAACTGTTTAGTGCAGATCCCTCAGATTGATATTTAGATGAACTAATTTTTACGCCCTTGTATTTTGTTTCCAGATCATTTGGGAATGTTTCTAAATTTACAGCTATTAAGATATTAGAGTCTTTCAAAACACTTCTGATTGAGGCAATAAATTTGTCAAGTTCAATCGTTAAACTTTCTTGGGCACTTGGTTTTGGTACATATTTAACCAAAGTTACCAGTTCTGAAACCGGTACACTATAAGAACATTTGTCAGTGATAAACCCTTCGTAAAACATTGGAAACCCGTGAAATCCACCTTTATAACTTTCTCCACATATATGTTTAGATTTAACACTTTGTCTTTCATACACATTTTTAGAATCCACTTTGATATCTCCAAGAATATTGTTCATAATATGAATAGCTTTATTCAAATAATCTGAAGTCTTAGACCCACGCACGTGTTTCTTTGCGCTGTAAATGACTTTAGCCAGTGCTATAATCTTTTCTTTAGTTCCCTTTTCTGTTAGCTTATCTAGATCAAGGTGAATAGGTAGACGACTTGGCCATTCTCCAGCAGTAGGGTCAGCATATGGCTGTAAGAATCAATGAAAAATTAACATACATACATGTATTAACAAATGCTTGAAAATTCATGTAAAAATATTTCGTGTACGGACTGAAAATTGAAAGACAGGTGATATAAGAAGTACTGTTCTAATGACTGATATACAGAATATCTAAAGATTGATAATAAGGTAAATGTCGTTAGGCATTGGTTTTATCAGGTTTAAAGATATTTTTATACATTTGTGGATAATTAAAAAAAAAACACACAATGAAGCATGAAAGATGTGAATCCAGAGGTTCAAAAGTTCATGGCTGTCCACTCTTTTAACATCATTAAAATGTTATAAATGACATATCAGTATTTAGATGTTACGAATGACATATCAGGATCCAGATGTTATAAATGATATAGATGTATCTAAGCATTCAGATGTTATACGTGATATATATCAGCATTAAAAAATTATCAATAATAGATAAGTTATTTTGAATATGTTGTTGAATAATAAGGCACGGTATGGTACGGAAGAACATAAGTGCCAGGTGTGTTATTTATTAACTCGAAATTTCGAGTTACCTAACTCAAAACTTCGACTTACTTACTTGAAATATCGACTCCAGTAACTTTTTGACTTAATCACCCGAAATTTTCCGACTTATTAACTCGAATGAAATGTAGTGAACTAAACAAGTCTTTGTTCGATGTCCAATAATAAATTTAATATCATTTATTTTTAGAACTCTCTAATAAGACTTGCGTTTGTCTATGAAATGAAACTAAACATACAAGGGGAAAAATATAGAAATGAATAAATTATCAGTCTGGTGCCTAGTCTAGGGCAAGAATTATTTTTAAATCAATCAGACAAAAAAAGCGATTTAAAAAGACTGACACAATTTGTTTTCGAAACAAATTTCTGTTTTATTTACTTATTCCATATTGCCCGCGCTGAAACATTCTTGCGTATGAACAGAAGTCAAATAAAGTAAACGTAATGAACAAATTATGAAACATGAATACCAATATCAATATTAAGAAATATTCATCAGAAAAGTTAAAGTAGCGAAATAAATGCATAATAAATGTTGATCGAGGGTTTAGGGCAACTTGATAATGAAAATTTGTGGATTCTCCATCTACAACGTACAATCGCACTCCTTACTATACCTTACATCATATAAACTCCTGGTAACTCATAACTATTTTGGCCATTCTAAATTTCGAGTTTAGTAAGTCGAAATTTCGCGTGTAGTAAGTCGAAATTTCGAGTTACGCAAGTCGAAATTTCGAGTTAGAAAGTCGAAATTTCGAGTAAAGTACAAATGTATGTCGAAATTACGAGTTACGCAAGTCGATATTTCGAGTTATTATATATAACTTGAAATTTCAAGTTAGTTAGGCGAAATTTCGAGTTATGTAAGTCGAAATTTCGAGCTTATTAAAAACACACACCTGGCACTTATGCTCTTTCGTAGTTACAAAGTAATATAATACACGAGCAAACCAAAAATCTATTAATTTTTCATTGTAACACGTCACGAAAGAATGTTGGACTACATACATGTACATGTAGTTGTTAACACAACGGTTTAAATAGCTCTTTATAACTGTCGATAATAATGGAAAATTTTTGACATGTTCATTAAGGGTTTTTTGGTTTTTTTGCTTATATTTATTGTCATATATTAATACGATTTTATTGCAAATCAAATGGCACTATAATTTCCTAAAAAAAAGCTGAAGCGGATAACTGGGTCAACGATTCTTTTGAAAAAGGTTCAACAACAATATCAATTAAACGGTGTTTTCACAACCATTTACAAGAAATGATCGATTTATATCAAATGCATTCCGTGTAAACATATTAATTTGCTTAAAGTAACAAAATTGCGTATTGTAGTTGGGATGCAATAACAGCAGCAAATGCATTGTTGTGAAAAGCAGGCTAATAACATGTATATAAAAGTTATACTTTGGCTTGTTGACGGATATGTTTTTGTTTGGAGTTTAATTACATAACATCGCTTTGAAATAGAACAAATTTAATCTTTAAGCTTCAGACTAAGCTATATTATACTGTGAATTTATCACATAACCGTGCCGCTTGCGGACTCCGTAAAAATGGTATTGCACGGCCGTGCATATATTTTGACGTGATGTCATAAAAATAGCCTAGTTAAGACGCGCTAAATATTAGCGCTACACTATATGCGCGTCAATGAAATGCATCAAACAGTCTTTATTTTTGGTAAGTGATATGTAGAATATTATATTCGTGTAAGTTCATTACTAAATTTATTGAACTTGTTGAATAAAATAATATTATGATCGCCAGAGGCTTGCATATTATATTTTTATATAAATCGTTTAATAAATTCAGTATTGAACCTGCACTCAATCAATACCTCGTATATCTGAACCTCCATTTATAAAATGCATTGCTTTAAAATTGACAGTGAGGTGCAAGTTTTTGTCAGCTGAAAGTGCTGTAATGAAGCAGAACAGATAATTGAGCCGTATCATGAGAAAACCAACATAGTGGGTTTGCGACCAGCATGGATCCAGACCAGGCTGTGCATCCGCGCAGTCTGATCAGGATCCTTGCTGTTCGCTATCAGTTTCGATTCTTGTAATAGGGTTTATAAGCGAACAGCATGGATCCTGATCAGACTGCGCGGATGCGCAGGCTGGTCTGGATCCAGGCTTGTCGCAAACGCATTATGATGGTTTTGTCATGACACGGCTCATTTAAATAAAAGAAATCTTACCCTGATTTCATATGACACGTATATATATGGTATGATAATAAAGGAGGACAGAATCATTAAACCAAGTAACACCTTCCATCGTGAATCTAAGCCGCCTTGCATTTTGTCAACTGAAAGTAAAAATATGTCAAGTTAATAGTGAACCTTAAGCCTTGCATTTTGTCAACTGAATGTAAAAATATGTCAAGTTTATAGTGAACCTTAAGCCTTGCTTTTTGTCCACTGAAAGTAAAAATATGTCAAGTTAATAGTGAACCTTAAGCCTTGCATTTTGTCCGCTGAAAGTAAAAATATAAGTCAAGTTAATAGTGAACCTTAAGCTTTGCATTTTGTCCACTGAATGTAAAAAATATGTCAAGTTTATAGTGAACCTTAAGCCTTGCATTTTGTCCGCTGAAAGTAAAAATATGTCAGGTTTATAGTGAACCTTAAGCCGTGCATTTTGTCAACTGAAAGTAAAAATATGTCAAGTTAATAGTGAACTTTAAGCTTTGCATTTTGTCCACTGAATGTAAAAAATATGTCAAGTTTATAGTGAACCTTAAGCCTTGCATTTTGTCCGCTGAAAGTAAAAATATGTCAGGTTTATAGTGAACCTTAAGCCGTGCATTTTGTCAACTGAAAGTAAAAATATGTCAAGTTAATAGTGAACCTTAAGCTTTGCATTTTGTCCGCTGAAAGTAAAAATATGTCAGGTTTATAGTGAACCTTAAGCCTTGCATTTTGTCCACTGAAAGTAAAAATATGTCAAGTTAATAGTGAACCTTAAGCTTTGCATACTGCCCACAGAAGGAAAAAAAAATGTCAAGTTAATAGTGAATCTTAAAGGCCCATTATGCATCAGAAATGCAACCATTTTTTTATTTCTCAAAACCTTTTTATTTTTTGTATCTTGTTAGTTAAGGCTCCAAAAAAAAATATTTTGCCATATACATGATCTGTTCTTTGCTCTTTTAGCTCTATTGGCAATGGATATAATTACAGTGAATTGGTATTTTGTATGGAAGTCAAAGTACTATTTTCAATTTGTTTACTTTTTGCTTCCTTTACGACACATTTCTGCACGTTAAGTGCTACATTCTTGAGTCGTTAAAAATCTAACGTCCTGATTCACTTATCATTACATTTTTAAACACATGATTGACATATTAAGAGAATTTTGATAAAAGGATTTAATATGAGGCATAGTGTGCCTTTAAGCCTTGCATGTTGTTTTCTAAAAGAAAATATGTCAAGTTAATTTTGAATCAATGCCTTGCATTTTGTTAATTGAACGCAAATAGGGAAAGTTAATAGTAAATCTATGCCTTGCATTTTCTCAAGTGATAAAATGTCAAATTAATAGTGAATCTTAACTTTGGATATTGTCCACTGAAGAAAATATGTCAAGGTAAAAGACACATGATACACGTTTTCACACTGCTGTTTAAATGTTTTAAAAGTAAGCATTTAAGATTGTGTTTATTTTTTGAATCACTAAATATTATAGATTAGCCTCCAATATTCATATCTAGCTCCAATTTCCAAAGAATAAAGTTGTTCACTATCAACATATAACACCGGGCCGATAATCCTAATACTTCTTTGCAAAGTTAGGTCTGTTTCTCAAAGATTGTCAAAATTAATCACTTTTGTCTTTGAATATCTACTTGTTCATTTTTAGAATTTAGTATTATTTTCTTAAAGGCAGATAACTCTATCTTTTATTTTTGCATAAAAATGATAGTTATGCGCCACTTTTTTTTTTCGTTTTCTTGTGTTGAAGGTGTATTTTACAAAAAAGTTATCAAAAATCAAAGGGGCAGCTAATCCTAAACGCCAATTTTGCTTAATTATTTCCCTTTTTATTAGAATGTTTGCCTTTTTCCCAAAGAAACTGTTTAAGGTTTTTAGGTTGAGTATCAAGGCACATTTCAGAATTATGTCGCCTTCACTTTGCTGTTTTTAGGAAACTATAAAGGATTGACAGAAAGGGAGCTCACTCTTATTAATCTTGACGTGCCGTTTGATCACTGTCTGCACCGCTTGCTATTCAGTCAGTACACATTTCATTTAAAAGGCATGTTGTGACGAATTGGAGAACTAATTTCATTATGCATTATATATGTTATGAAATGTTAATAGTGAACCAAACAGAACAAAAAAACAAATGCATCATGTATCTTAATCACATGACGTAGTATTGTTGTATAGAAGGTAACTTAACACAAAATCATGTAGATAGAATTTGATAGAGCATATAGGATTCTTTTATAGACTAAATTAATATGTGATCAAGACAAAAGCTATAAAATAAATCTATTCATGCAATTTGTAAATAACACTGGACACATTTGATGGAGGTAGGTACGAGTGGTGTCCCTCCCCTTTAAAGGGAGACACAGGCAAAATTTTTATTTCTTAGTTTTGGAGTTTTCATTCATTATTCTGTTAATGCCACCGAGGTGAATACATTAGGCAGTCAAAAGAACAAAACTTTTCTCCCTATAAAATATAAAATGGTGGTTTCCTAACTTGACCCGCGTGGGTCAGGTTAGAGCACTAGGATTTCACAAAAAGTGTCACAGTGAACACTGGAAACGTTAAAGAACATGTCAAATGAATGACTTAGACTTGTTTCAATCATACAATATCCACAATATCTTTATTTTAACTTCAAGGGTTTATTTTCAAGTGACATGACTTGTTTTAAAACTATTTGGTGATTTTATTGACGTCTAAATTCTAATCAATAAAATAGATATATTTATGCTTCAAACCCAAAATATTTAGAATTTAAACAGAAATTCATGCTGGAACTTTAAGAAATGTCATTTTAGCGTTATTTGAGTACATAAGATCATTTTGATAGTTTTGAGTACATAAGATCATTTTGATAGTTTGTCATTATTTTGCCTAAATATCCCCGCGGAAAACTTTGAAAATAAAGTTTTGAAATGGAACATGATTGTGCCTTTTGGGGGCATTTTGTTGTATTCAGACACACTAATATTTTTCACACTAATCTAAAATCTATGTCGTGGCCACGAGTTACTAAGTCGTGGCCACGAGATAACTAAGTCGTGGCCACGAGATACTATGTCGTGGCCGCGAGTTACAAAGTCGTGACCACGAGTTTCTTAGTCGTGGCCACGAGATAGCTAAGTCGTTGCCCCGAGATACTATGTTGGGCCACGAGTTACTAAGTCGTTGTCAAGAGTTACTAAGTAGTGGCCAAGAGATAGCTAAGTCGTGGCCACGAGATACTTAGTCGTGGCCACGAGTTACTAAGTCGTGACCACGAGAAAGCTAAGTCAATGCCACGAGATACTATGTCGTGGCCATGAGTTACTAAGTCGTGGGAACGAGATCGCTTAGTCGTGGCCACGAGATAATTAACCAATCAGAATACACTATATATATATATTATGAATTTTTTAAACTTGACAACTTACTTTTACATGCAACATTAATCTTTGAAAATATTGATGATATATACTTTGAACTTGTCTTTAAGATCATATTAGAAAGTCACCTTCCAAGGCCCATCAGACATTAATTTTTACTATAGCTCTTTGTTGGGCAAGTTTGTGATCGAATTTGTCAGTTTGTACGTACTACGCAGTGATTTTCCTGCTTATATAACAGACTCCGATAAAAGGCTTCTTCCCAATTGAAATTTTCTTTAAAATCATGCAGTTTTCCCCAAAATCTGAACTTAAACCTGATTTTTTTTCTTCCCAAATCGGCAATTTTAGCGATATTTTTCCCAAAATCAAGTGGCTAAGGCCTCTTCCAATTAAGTGAGAAAAATCACTGCTACGACTGTAATGCTGTTAACCTTGTTTATACGATAACATGAGAAGGAATAAGTCCTGGTTTATTTTATTTGTAAGGGACATTGCCCATGGCTATAAGGTAAAATCCTTGTCCGATGAATAATTAAAAAAAGGATAAGGCATGGTTAATGAAACCCAGAAAGATCATTGCACCTGATCAGTAGATGACATCTAATAATTTCGAGGTTATTGGGTCAAAAATCAGGGTCACAGTGACGCTAAATGTAAAATTATTGACAAGTTAATAAGTTGTATAAATGGCACTTTTACAGGCTGGTGAAGAGGGGGCATCCTTGTACTATAGCACATGTCTAGTTAATTAGGGAAATTCATATAAATTATGTAATCTGATAGGTTATCCATCTCGTGGCCACGATTTAGCTATCTCGTGGCCAGGAGTTAGTAACTCGTGGCCACGACATAGTACTAGCATATCGTGGCCACGACTTACCTATCTCGTGGCCACAACTTAGTATCTCGTGGCCACGACTTAGTATCTCGTGGCCACGACTTAGTATCTCGTGGCCACGACTTAACTATCTCGATGCTACGACTTAGTAACTCGTGACCACGACTTAGTAACTCGTGGTCACGACATAGTATCTCGTGGCCACGACTTAGCTATCTCGTGGCCACGACTTAGTAGCTCGTGGCCACGACATCATTATCTCGTGCCCACGACATAGTTTCTCGTGGCCACGACTTAGCTATCTCGTGGCAACGACTTAGTCACTTGTGCCCACGACTTAGTAACTCGTGGCCACGACATAGTATCTCGTGGCCACGACTTAGCTATCTTGTGGCCACGACTAGTAACTCGTGACCACGATATAGTATCTCGTGGCCACGAGATAAATAAAAACACACACATGTCACACCTGTGCCACCGTAGACCTTCCCATCAATTAAAAGTCCAGAATTAACGCTCGTGTAACGACGTGCGTCATCCGAATACTACGCAAGTTTTACCAAAAACTCTATCCACTCAAAATGCGTATTGCAATAAACAGGTAAACATCTACCGTAGTATAATTATGTAATATATTGACGACAATTTTCCGAAATGTTCACAAATGGTAGTTTTACCCGAAATTTTATCAATTTATACCTTTGTTGTCTGCAAAATTCCTAGTTGTCTGCCCTTAATCTTGGTCATCGAAGTGTATTACAAATGTAAAGGTGTTGTCCAAAAGTTACAGAAGTTTACTTTTTTTTTTCTTTTTTTGTTGTTGTTGTTGTTGTTGTTTTGTGTGTTTGTTTTGTTGTTTTTGTTTGTTTGGGTTTTTGTTTTGTTATTTTCTAGATACAAAGTGGGATATATTTTAAAGTGTATTATGTTGATATGTTTTTAGAATTGATATCTTCGACAGAATTTAAGAACATGATATCTAACGATTATTTTATATTAACCAAATATTTGTGTCCTGCAGATAAATAGGCACTTCTTTGTTTTTTTTATTATTAATTTTGCAAAGGAATCCAATGAGAAGTGAGAAAAGAGACCTCGGGTATTTTCCGTTTAAAGCCAGAACTAAAGACCTTTCAATGGCCACGACAAAAGCATCTCGTCCGTAGGCCTACCACTTAATTATCTCGTGCGCACAACTTAGTAACTCGTGGCCACGACATAGTATCTCGTTCCCACGAGATAAATTAAAACACACTGTGGCACCGTAGTAACAACTAGTTTACAGACTTTCTGAAACGCTGGAATGATCGCTTGACTTCACTGAACCCACGTGGAAAGTACCCGTGTAACAGTGTACAGCGTGTAACACCGGTGCTTTTAGAAAAGTTTTTCACAAATCTGAAAGAGGTGTTACTCTAACATCACTTGTTGCACAAGCATCAGTTCATCTTTAACCTTGATGATACTGGACCTCAATCCGAACAAAAGCAAATTGGTTTATAATCTCACAACCTTCACCTTTCTGACATTCTGAGATCCAAACAAGTTCAGCGTCTTATGTGCTTTGATTTTGATATTGTTATTGATATTGTAATGAACTATAGAATATTGATTTTATTTAACAAATGCACATATCATATTGTTTGTACGTATAGTATTTGATGCGCATGCGCAATTTATCGATATAATATGTACGAATCTACGAGAGAAAAGCATATATTTGCAATCCGACTGAATGTTTACCTAATATCGGTTTGTTTAAACAGTTTGAGTATTGATTATGGTATGATAACCCTATTGGGCACTGTTAATGACCAGAAAAATTGACAACATAGGTTAAATTTTAAACAAACTTAACAGTTTGGAACCTTTAAATTATCTACAATATTATCCTTATGAAAAAATGTTTTCCCATTAATTTTTGGTAAGAAACAAATAGTACCATTCATCTAACAATCAACATAAGCAAAATGATTGTTTCTACTAAAGATTTATGAAATATGTATACAATGTTACCATACTCAACCCATTTTTAACACTGTCTTGTTTGATCACTTTCCTATACATAGAGAGCCTAATTTTAAAAAAATCCTATAATTTATCAAAATGAGTGTCTGTTTTCAAATTTTCCTTATTTTTTTTCGGTTGATCTTGTAAAATATTTAATACCTTTACCGTGTAGTTTTGATTTTATTACACTTTGAAAACATCATGTGTCATATTTGTTATTAGATTTAGCATTATTTATCTAATGAATACCTATATAAATTAAATAATTAAGATTCAACATCTTGTTCTTCCTAAAAGTGATATAAGAGATACATTAATAATGTTAAAAGAAAAAAAAACAATAAAGAAAAAAAATTGACCCGTCTGCATGGGGTTTGAACCTACGGTCTAAGTTTCAATTAAGTTATCAGTAGTTCTAGCCTATTTTAATAGTCAAGTCACCTCAAGTACCAGAGAATTGGTTGACCTGTCGTGACTAACTCGGGAGAGTGGCGCTATTAAAAGCCGGATTTTTATTTTTATTTTTATTTTTGGGGGGTGGGGTGGGGAAGGGGTGTGGTTGTTGTTTTCTTTTTCTATCATGCTTTGAACGTTTTGCCGTCCCCTCTACTCAAACCCCTACGAACGAATAACAGGTCAGGAAAGATTCAGCTTTAAAATGCTCCGCAGATGTGGGCTCTACGATTGGACCAGCAAGTGCGCATATGACCTGGCCCATATGGTTTCAGGCGGCCAGTGTAAATAAACGTATCTACACACACATGTTATAATTGAATAGCCGCCTGGTTAGGCTTAGCTCAATATGCAGAGGGTTGAACTGTAATTCGGGCGACCCGGGTTCGATTCCTTGACGGTGTGAGTACCTTTCTTTATGATTGATCATGACATCCTTCAACGGTCATTCGCACTGTACCTCTGTTCTGGCATGTCCGGAAGTTACAAGTTCCTTGCGAAAATGAGGGCAACTAGTACTGGTAAACAACCCGCCCAAGAACGGTGCCGGTGGCTGAACAATGATCTAGTTAATTCAGTGTAGCTAACTGCCGTTATTAGTCAGAGGGGAAATATTGCCCATACAAAAATAGCACAAAATCTCATGGCGTCATGCCGTAGCACAATTATTTTATAGATGGATCACGTTATAAAAGAATGAATAATGAACAGGGAGACGAATTCGTGGTGCCACTGTCTTATCAGCGTTATTTACGCAGGTTTTGGGCTTAAATAAGGCAACTTCATAAAGCCTAAAATATCGTTTTTTCACAATTATTGTTCAGCGAAAACATTGAAAATGTAGTCTGACACAATTTCAAATGAATTAAAACATGAAAACAGAGGTATTTAACTATTAAACATTGTTTAATAAGGCGTTGATCATGAACTTTAATTTTCCGACACATGTTTTAAACTTCCGACACATTATATTCATACTTTATACACATGATTAAAACATTTTCAACAAATAGCTAAACTTTAAGTAAAGATTCGCATTACGGTGCTTATTTCACAATTCAAAGAGCCACTAACCCATTCACAAAAGACTCGAAAATAAATATCTGTTGAATAAAGGAATAGAGGATCATTTACGTACACAGAAATTTAAACCTTGTTATACACAGTAATTTAAACCTTGTTAATATTTACATGTACTCTAATTGGCTTCTTTGCCTTGTAAGTAATTTCAATAAAAGATTGTTGACATATGTATACAAAGTATTTAAAATTTTAAAATTATTGAAATGAGAAGATCCCACGAAAAACAAAAGTGTATCGAAAATGCAAACAATTCGATTCTATATCTACATTAATTTATATAAAAAAAAGATCTAATATAAAAATTATTGGATTGATAAAGAAAATACAATATTGCTTTGGCTTAACAAATCTTCCTGTGTCTAAATAAAAACTGATATTATAGAGTACAATTACTACGGAAGACCGAAAGGCAAATTTGGCAGATTTAACCTTCATAAATTCCAAAATTAACTTCACAAATTTAACTTCATGAATCCATTATTTCAACTCTACGAATTTAGCTTCATGAATTCACAATTTCAACTTGGCGAATTTGTTAATTTGAAATCGTGAATTCAAATGAATTAACCTAATTCATAAATAAATTATATGTTCAACGTAATTATTAACGATTTCAACTCTAATTAAGAAGACATGTTATTGACTATTAAATTTTCATTTGCACAGGAGATTTGCAGTTTCTAAAATTTATTGATCAATAAAAATGGGTATTTTTAGTTATGCAATTCTGTTTGTATAGCAACTGATAAAGAGCATAATAAATATTTAACATGTAAACTTCAACCAAGGGTGCGCAGTGGGGTAAAACGTACAATCAAATCGTTCATAAAATGGCATGTATTTTGCAGTCGGTATAGTTATTGAATTCACGTTATGAATTCACGATTACAACTTCTTGAATTTATTGATAAATTTACAATTATAAAATATTAAATAATAAATACAAATTTTCCTTTTCTGTATATGAAAAAAACTGTTCACTTCTGAGCCATGACCTCTGCAAGTTACTTTAAACAAGAAAATAAAAAAAACTTCACTGTTTAGGGTATTTTTATTCATCTGGAATCAATATAAACGTTGAATTTAAATCTGTTGACAGACACACGGATTTGAACATTTTTTCAGAACTAAAATCAATGTGCAGATAGGCTGGCTATTTGTCACTTAATGCTCCTTCAAAACATTGAATATCACTTTTTTAATCAAATCCAAAATCAAATCAACTAAAAAATAATATATTATTTATGTTCAATTAAATGCTTAATGTTTATACAGTGCCTTTATCGGACCGTTTATGTCACGGAACGTATTTGTCACACGTGTGACATATTCAGTTCGAATTTGTCACATGTGTGTCATATTCGGTTGGTAAGGGATTAAAAAGTCGATATTTTATCTTCCAGTCAATATTTTTTTACCAAGCCATTTGAAGCTAGTCACTGTGTATTGACACAGTACTTAGTCACCTTAAAGCGGCGATCACCCCGAATGCATTACCTCCACTTTGAAGAGTATTTAAATACGCTAGAATCACTGTCAACTGCATTGAAACTGACGGGCACGGGTTCAAAAAGCAGAAGGGGCAACTTTTATTCTTTCTTTCTTTTTCCTTTTTTACCTTCCAAGTGTTTGATTTTAATTATATAATTATTGTAGGTATTTATAGGCTAAATTATTCCAAATTTAATAGCAAATATGATACAAGATATTTTCAAAGTTTAATGAAATAAAAGCTACACTTTAAAAGTATTTTATATTTTGAAAGATCAACCAATATTCAACAATTAAGGCAAATTTTGAAAACAGCCCTCATTGTGGTAAATTTTAGGGATATTTCGAATAAGGCTTTTACATTGGGAATTGCTGATTCATGATGACGATGATGATGTATCATTGATGATGATGATGATGATGATATGATGATGATGATGATGATGATGATGATGATGATGTTGTTGTTGTTGTTGTTGTTGTTGTTGATGATGATGATGATGATGACGATGATGATAATGATGATGTATCACTAAAACGGCGATGATAATGTTAGTTTACTATGTAAAATGTGTGTCATATACGTCAGGCATTTACTACCAAATTGCAGAAACGTATATGGCACATAAAGACAGCTGTGATTAATTCGGCCGAATATGTCCCACAAGTATGACATATATACGTTCC